CGCCAATCGGAAGATTCAGCCATGTGGTCCTGCTTGCGTCGGAGCACCGAGTTTCATACAAGACGACACTTGCCAACCTTGCTCATTCAATGCACTCGTTCTCGCGCAACTCCACTCTGTCCGGTGTCCGCCGGAACTCGATCTCATTTTCCGCTGGGCAACGATGACGCTCCATCTCCTCGTTGGCTGGCGGGTCTTACCAGGTCTTTCGCCACATACCTCGACTACAACCAAAAGGCGGACAGCTCCATGATTTATTTTTCGCCTTGGATGGTTTGATGCATCAAGACCTCAGCATCGATGTCCCCGCAACGTCCGATTCTTGTGTTGGTTCTTTCTCTCTGTATCTCTGCACCTCGGTTGAATACAATCTTGGTTTAGAGCAAAAGGCAGTACATCCGAGTTGAACGGTGAAGTATCGAACCATACAGAGGATATTTCGGCGTCTCTTTCTCGCTCCTCTCATGTCGCTCCTCCCTGTGAGCCCTCAGTGCCCCTCACAATAGACCCGCTCATCCGCTAATCCCACAGTCCCTTGCAAGATAGGGTGCACCCCAAATCCGAGACCCGCTGTTGTACATCCTGGCACACTATCCTCAAACCACTATTCGGCGCGACGAGACTCGGCACTCTGCCTCCCCACATCTCAAGACCCCCCGTATTTCACAAAAATTCCTTCCGCTTCTCTCTCCCGAATCCTGGGGCCCAGGCTATGATGTTTCGCTTCAAGCTCTTTCACAGCTATCTATGGTCAACTAATCATTATCCGTCGTTCCTTTCCACTAACGGAATCCCGTCGAATTGAAATCCGCCTGGTCTCATGCGTCTGGTGCTAAATCTCAATCCGCTTTGGATATCCTCGGCTTCCTCGTGTGCGGCCTGGCCCGTCACTTCGTCGGCCTGTTCTTTGCCTCAAATTCCATCGTGAACACTTCGAGGTTTCAAGTTGTGCTGAGCCACTAAATATGTTTCCGGAGCAAGCTCTTCTTCCTCTTCAAGATCTACCGGGCGTTCGCGCAGAAAGGCTACAATGCCCGCGCTTGCCGGCCCCAGCGTCCCACCTTCTGTACGGAGTGACGGAAAATCCTTGTAAGTACCATTTGGAGCGACGACATCAATGAATCGGTGGTATGGTGCACGAGAATTCGAACGAAGTGGGAATGAAACAAAATCTGGTATTTGGATTGAATGGTATGGGATGGTACATGCGTGGCGACAATCAGGTACAATTGCGAACAGAAATTCTGGCATGTAATCGAAGTCGGAATCGTGTAGGGATATGTGAATGGAATCACTGAAAACAATCCAATGAGCCAATGGTCTAGAAAGAAAAGGGTTCATACACACCATGAAGTCTGACCACGCGGGTTCCTCGTAATCCTGCTCGGGCGCGGGTGCGGGCGGCGCCGGCATATTGAAGTGCACTTTGCAAGGGATTTCGTCCCAGTCTGCTGGAGGCGGCAGGTTTGCGTGACGGCGGAGCGCCGAGGCGCGATACTCCTCGCGAGACATGGAATATACGCGGCGACGGCGGCGAGTGAGAGCGACGGGGAGAGCGTCCTGGACGCGGGCGCAGATTTCCTCGAGTATGGGCATGGAACTCGGATGTGCAACTTCTGCTTCGAGCGAGAGAGCTAATTTTACTTCTTCTAGAACGGTGATGTAAATATCGAGACAGGGAAAACTGGAAGGTTGAACGCACCACTGAGGATTTCCTTGTCGGGCTTCGCAGACGGGAGCTGGATGTGGTATGTGTTCGATGGACAAGGTAAGTCAAAGAGAGAGCGCGGGCGCTTCAGCGCAGATTTGCGCGGGACCGCCAAAGGGTTGTGCGGCGATGGCAGTGGTAGAGATGCGGACCGCAACCGCTTCGGCAGCAGTGCAGCGGGGAGGGATTCAAGGACGAGCTCGACCGAGAGGCGGCGCGACGACTGTCTCCGCGGGGTTGTGTTGGCGGGGAAGGGCATGTTGGATAAAGTGGATTGTCGTTTGGGGTGTGGAACTGTAAGTTGGAATTCGGTTCAGGATGGCTCGTGTTTTATAGGTCCAGGATAGGAGATCGCCCCGGTCTCATCCCCTCCACCATCATATGCCGGGACCGGAAGTCTCAGACATTATTACCCCGCCTTCCCCACTTCCGCGGGATTGATCGACCAGCGAATTTTGATCCCTGAGAGGCAGGCAGACAACCGAGCGCAGTTGTTTCCGATCCAGAGTTCTAGCAGCAACGAGGATTGGGTGAGAGGACAAGTCGAGAAACGAAGCACGGAGCCCCTAGTCTCTTCTAAACAGACACTACAACATATCTGTGCTCGTACCTCGCATGTTGTAGTCTGTCATTAAGGTCGATGCGGTGTTCGGTCGCGGCAGTATTAGTAATGATCGGAGTTTCAAACTGTTCCCACGCTTATTCGACGCGTCTTCTCGCGTTTCCTCCGACTCTCGCAGCTCCTCGAGCCTCTGCGGCGCGTATAATGATGCGCATAATCTCCCCAGACACTGCCTGGGAGAACGGGTGAGATTCTTTTCAAAAGGGCCGACGTGCATTTTTTTTGATGGTCTACACACTCCATTTCAGCCGTTCACCTTCGTTCACTTCCGACTGGACCGTAATTCAGATGATTGTGTTCCGCCGTCGATGCATGGTGTAATAACTGCATTGCATAGCCATATGGGGGACATCAAAACCAACAAGATAAGTATCGAAAAGTACACTACGGTCCCCACTCGTTGTTTCTTGCCGGAGAGTCGGGGAGAGGAAGGAAGGAGATGGAGGACTTCGCACAGTATACTTCCGTGCAAACATACGTTCGGGATTCGACGGTCGACGCGCGTGACAGGTCCTCGCTCGCGGTCCATCTGAGCAAAGTCCAACAGCGCACGGGGGACGGCTCGGCGTAGCATCGAGTGTCGACGTCTCGTGTGCGCAAGAAAATGAGCCCATCATGATCGTTTCGTGTTGGTGGGCATCGGGCGTGCACACGTCGGTGCGTAGGGCAGAATTGGCGCGTCAATCGTGAGAGGAAAGAACGCGGGACAGCTTGCGCACCCCATCGCCGTGTTTCGGATCGGGCGCAGCCACGACTAGGTCTGCACCATGCGAGGCAGCTCCTGCGCGGCGATTATAGCATGAAAAAGCGCGTGCGTGCGGCTGCATAATTAAGCCGTCACCGCAGCGCCATGCGACAGAGTTCGCCACGAGCGCCACCCCTTCGTGAGTCGCGTTGGGGCCCATCGGACTACGAGAGCAGACACACTTCTGCGCGCCGCAACACTTGAAGGCTCGCGGAAGGCAGAATGAACCTAGAATGGATGGGATTAACGGGCGCAAGGACCAAAACTAGAGGGAGACAGACGACGGTACGTAGCTGGTAACTCCCCCCTGCCTGCACTGACTTTTCTGGCCGAATTCAACGTCGTAAAGGCTGCGAGCGGGGGGATAGCATTTGCAGAAAGGCAGGACGAGGCGCCTCGGCGCACCATTTCCCATGTTTGCGCGAGACATGTCGGACACGCTGACTTCGCCGCCGTTTTGTAACCTGCGCGTCCAGGATTGACGCAGACGACATTCCAAGGGTCGCCTTCGGATTTTAGGTACAAAATTTTGGGCGGCCATGGAGCAAAGTAGCTTTCCATCGCGCAATCCGTCGTGAAGGATCAGCTTTGGGTGCGCGGAATAAGGCGGTCTTCTGGTGGAGGTATTTGCTCTATCACAGTCCTGATGAGGGCCGAATCGCAATAGGGATGACTCTAGATGAGCTGGAGCGCCATCATGGCCGAAATGAAGGGAGGGAAGGCAAGGAAAGCGGAGGAGCAATGGCGGCGTGGGGGGAAAGGCCGTGGGAACATGATTGAAACTCCGATGATTCCTAATACTGCTGCCACCCTTGCACGGTGACTACAGACTACGGAGCCCCTGTCTTGCGCGGCGATCACTGGACAGTGACGCCATTGCACAGCCGATGATCGGCCACTGTCTCGCCGAGCTGCCGCCATCTCCTGAGCTTGAATTCCGCTGCCTCAATTGGATTCACCGCCCGATCTCCTATGTGACTCTGGGAAGGCTGTTGGGTATCAGGAGGGCTCCAACTTTGAGAGCACTATTCTGCGTGGTGTCGAGCGCGACATTGATTTATTCAACTCAGCCTGCTCAAAGCCGTGTTAGTGTCGAGTGAATCGGCCCAGGCAAGAAAGTCATTGTTTGCACGAAATCAAGTACGGTAGTTGAATTCGGAGAACACACGACGATCAAACTCGAACCATAATCAATTGCGCGACTTGAAATGAGTAATACTTCGGCCCATGCAGAACCGTCCGGTGAAATCCATATTCACCATTGGTGCGCTATGGAAGAGCCACGAAGAACAAGGGATGACTCGAATTCAAGAATCAAGACCGGTGCGGGAGGTGGGAGGGCGATCGTAGGATTGCTAAATCGGTGATAAGAACGCGGATGTGGAGGGAGGTCAAGTGAGTGTGGAAGGAAGAGCGAACGGCGAGGGCGGAAAATTAAACTCCTGCGCCAGGTATCCTATGTTGGAGGAGACACATGGCCCTGATTCGGGACATCGGCATTGTATCTAAATACTGCGCCCGTCTCGGAGGACTGTGCCACAGATAAGGGAACGTGACTTTCCTCACGGAGTTTCAGAATATAATTGCTCCTTGAAGCCCAAGTGTTCAAAAATTGAGGTTTGAAGTAATCTTCGTCCCATCCAATTGTATATTCTCAAATCCCGCACTGGATGTACACTTTGAAGTCAGTAAGACCAATCGAGGCTGAAGCAGGATCGCCAACGTTGAAAATCTTTCGAGTTCAATCGGCGCTGAACAGGATTGGAGCAAGAATCTGCACTTGAAATGTTTTAGACAAGTCAAACGTGAAATATTACACCTGATGTAACTGTCTCATGAGAAGGAACAGATGCGTTCCTTCGGTTGAGAAGTTGAACATGCCGTGATGCCGCGGCTGATTCCGTATCAGAATGTTCGTTCACCACGGGTGCTTGGCGCAATGGTAGCGTGTTCGGCTTCGATTGCTGAATTTCGCACCGAAAGGTTGCAGGTTCGAGTCCTGCAGTGCTCAGTTTTTGCCCAGCTTGCCTGCCTGCCGAGCTCGGTGAATGTCAAAGTGGGGGAGAGGACACTGCCGAAGCCAACTTAGGACCTTATCAGCAACTTTCAATCTTTTTGCATGAAATCTGGTGCAATTTATTCTGTGTACCAAACTGGTCCACAAACCACTCTATGCAAAGTACATGTGCTTGACAGCATATTATTGAGTCGGGGCGAAAACCATAGAATAAGCTTAAGATATGATGGGCAGAAGTTGGATTATATTTCCCGCAACAATGTTGAATCTCTGGATACTTTTGCAGGACAATTTTCCTGCCACTCTCATACCTCGAACGATGATGAAAGCGACCTATTTCTTGACTCTGAATAGTTTAGGCACGAGTTTGATTCAAGTTACACGGTATTTTCATGAACGTGCGAGTAATTCCTTGGTCATTCCTCATTTGATGTCAGCTGATGGGTTCGACTCCGTACGCTTCCCTTTTTCTTTGTCTCTCTTTTTGGCCAATCGTATGTATCTCACTCGGGGCGGACGTGGTGCACAGTGTACCCCTTCATACCATCATACAGTTCAAGGAGGAGGTGCCCGGTATTGCAGATAGTCCAACTTGAAAGAGGTGCCCGGGTTCGACTCCCGCGTCCGCATGGTCCAAGTCATCATCCTCTTTTTCTCAATGCAAGATCGAATGAAAAGTGTTGAGTTGTCTGTCCGAGAAGCAGCGAAAAAAGGTGCGCCTCCATGAAAAACTAATTACATTTCACATGCGAATCGGGAGGTGGACTTTTGACGCTATCTCTTCTTCTAATCCCAGTAGGATGGGTTCATTTCAATGGTTTTATTCGACTGGTTCGACTCAAAATTGCCTGCCTTCTGGCCTGCCAAACTGGATGCTGGACAGCGGACGTCGTGCACGGTACACCCCTCCTTTGAATGCGATGGTGATGAACCTTGCAGGAGGTGACTGGGGTTCGACTCCCCGCATCCGCACGGCGAAGCCTGTCTATTGTTTTTCTGGTTCCTCGATGTAAGCACGGGTGTTCGGTAAGATTGACCGAGGGCAAACACGGAGGCTACAAAGCGGACGTCGTGCATGGTGCACCCCTCCTTTGAATTGTGGGATATAATAGTAGCGACAATGAAGAAGGTGCCGGAGTTCAAGTTGGCGTCGCTCACTCTCGACCAGGTGTAAAGGGCGACGCAGGTTCCGTGTCCAATTTCAACCGCAATGCTACGGCCTCAATCCACTGCGAGCTCCCGAATTGACTCCTCCATTTCCTCATCCTCCTCCTCCTCCTCTTCGTCCGAGTCTTCCTGCCTCATTTCAATAGCATACTCCCAGCGTCGAATCATTTCCCGTTCATCGAAGGTCCCGCTCGCAACTCCCACCCCCTGATTGCATTCCGCGTCCTGATCGGGTTCGCTCCAATCCGATTTGCAGATCTTTCGGCTCTGTCGCAAGTGGCCCTGCCACCGCTTAAGCACGTCACACATATCAGCCGGTGGATTTGGAAATGTCTGCTCGGTCGAGTGAGGGAGATACAATCATCTATGGTGCCGTCGCACCTTGAGCCACTGGATAACATGATAGAACTCTTCAGGATGTAGACAGTCCGAACAGTTGGAACATCGGAACACATTCCAGGGGGGAACAAATCCACGGAGCTCATACAAAAGGTCCTGGCCCAAATTCGGTGAGTGACCAATGAGTTTACCCCATTCTATCCTTTCACTGTTGACGTTAACCGGGGAAAAATCCCTGAAATAACGTCAGATCCTTGAGCAGTCTCATATCAGGCGTAATGAGCTTGCCACGCAACAATGGGCAAATTTCCGGCGCCGATTTGCTGGATGAACCGGAAGAATCCACCAATCAACTTGGCGATCAGGCTAGATATGTCGCGGCGGTAAATCTCCATGGAAAGTGCAAGCATGGTCAACGTTGCCGCAGCAAGTTGCTTTTCGGTTCTTCCAACCAGTAATGAACCTAGCACAGAAAGATCGAATATGTTTTGTATGCTGGTACCCAGCTACAGGAAGGGGGGAGCTTGCCTATTCAAACACCTCGCATTTGAATCATACCCCACAGGATAAATGGCGGTAATCAAGCAGTAATAGTATGGATCGGATTGTTCTCCATTTCGGTCTCCTCTCACTAATTCACTGTGCACACTCTTCTGTGCACTTTCATCCTGTAACTCGCATTTTGTGCGCTCTCTCTCTGCTTCTTGTTGTCTCTTACATTTCTGCTGAACTTCTGCTTTCGTTGGATGCATAGTAGGAAAATAACTGAAATCCCGACGTTGTACGCCCGGCGCCGTATGGAGATCATAGCCCATCATCCGTTATTCAAACCCACGGTTTACATGCATGGGCGTAGACATTCCTTTGTGAATGCTCAATTTTAATTGTTGAAATACTTGAGCTTCATGTAACTTGTACGCGAGCATTGGCCAATGGAGAGATTACAGTACGTTGTCATACTGTTGATTTGAACCTACCCTCAATGATCGACGAAAGACTGTCCGGACACAGTCACCACATCGCAACCCTTTGCATTCGATGCATGTTGTGAGTTGTTGCTGCTCATGATCAGGCATTGCTCAGGTTACACGGCGAACAGGGGCTTTTGATCTTCCCACGGGGCGACCATCAAAGTCCCACGGAGGGACCATCAAAACCGAACTCTGCACCGCCACTAAGCATTTCGGATCGGCCAACAAATAGGGGGAGCAAGCTCCCCCAATGATAAGGTCATCCCATGACATATCAGGTAGAAGTTGTAAGACGGTTGTCAATGACGGATGGAATGAACAACTTTTGAACAACCATTGAGCTTGGAGCATACGGACCAATGTGGGACACTGGGCCACGAATCGACGCCAGGATTCCAATGGAACCGAAGACGAACTGGACATCTTGCGCTGGAGTACACCAAGCTTCTCCGTCGATAGGGATAAGATGTACGTCAGATCCGATTTGTGGATCATGGATCGCTGTAAATTTTCCAAGGAAAACATCAAAGCATAGGCTTCCCAGCGTTGAATCAAGTCTTCAGGGACAGGGTTGATTGCCTGTATCATATAACATATTAGTGCGCGTGCTGAGTCAGAAATTGCAAGTTCACTTTCAACCAATTTATGAAGCCGAGCGTACGCCGTATAAAGCTGCGGGTGAAAAACGTCCGTGGGGGCCACAAAAATCTGGGATTGGCCTGTCGAATAAGGGGCACGAGATCCGTTGAAGGGGGGAGAGCAGAGATGCTCCAGATCAAATCCTCTGCGTCTAAGCGCCTACATGGTCGATCAGAATGGGGGTGTGCAAAAATATAAAGATGACCTAACCAACCATGCTAGAGGGTCTCCTTCGCTCCATTGATGGGAGTCGGACAGTGCCTTGAGAGTTGTCGTAGCCACAGTCATCCGATTTTCCTCGGTAGGGTGAAAGGTACCTGAACGACGTTCGTCATCCAAAAAATCCAGAAGTGACGCGTGATGTGCACGAATAAAGCCGGTCTTCTGGTCTACATGGAGGACAGAGTGAAGGGAATGAAGAATCAATTCCACATCCCCAGGTTGCATCTCGAAAAGTAAGTCGACTTGGCTGGGTGTGAGCCCACGGCAAAGAACGACAACGATATCGCGAAGTCGGGAGCGGAATCGAGCCGGTACTCCAGATAATATCTGGGTGTACAACTGGTCAAGAGCCGCGAACGGTGCGTCAGAGTCAACGAGGGAGAAATGCTGAACAGCCGCCAACCGCTGTGTCGGGCGAAAATATTTGTCGTCGACAAACTTGATAACGGTGGACGCGTAGATGAAATATCCAGACGATTACCGAACCAAGTCGTCCACAACCTCCGATGATGGCCACGGAGTAGGAATTCCACGCATAGTCGCCCGATGTTCACGATGAATGCGAGAAAATTCATCTGATAAGTAAGCCCGAATATACTTGAAGGATTGCTCGACATTGGTGGACTCGAGGATCGTATGGAGGGAGGGGTCCTCGAAAGTGACCCGAAGATGAGCCTCCGGCCTGCTGGCGATGAGGAATCGAACTTTGTTGGGATGCTGGTCGACGGCGCTTGCCACTAGACGTAATATTTCGACCTGGTTCCTGTGGCTATCACACTCATCCAGCCCGTCGATGAGAAGTAGGTGAATCACAGAGCCCTGAGCCGCTTGGCATGGCTCTACAACGAGCTTTTGAAGCTGAATATCCATCTGTCTCCCCACAACAGATGGATCGGCCTCTACGCTTTGGGAAATCAAGTTCTTCAGATGACGACTGTTGAGTGCCAATTGATATGCGAGGGTTGCAAACAGCACTCTGGCATTTCCCCGAGTGACATGATCCCGTTTAAAAAAGAAGGCTCCTCCGAGGCGACCAGTGCTCTGCAGTCGCTTACACAACGTCTGCATAATAGCAGATTTCCCTGCCCCAGCGGGCCCGTGCAGCCAACGGATCGGACGGGCGCGGTCGCCCTCAATCGCCCAATTGTACAGATCGTCCAACATTCTTGCGCGTGTCTGCGGATGGCATCTGGGTTGGGGAAAGCTGTCAGCAGAGTCGAACAGCGCCTCGAGAGCGACAGCCCGGTGCAAGATGTTGATTCCGGACTCCCCGTGGTTATCGACATGTTGTCCATTGACAATATTTTGTGCAGAGAAAAAATTGCCGTGGAAGGAGTGCGCGAGATGCGGTTGAACTGAGTGCCAAAACGGGAGTGGGTGTTCGTCTTGGTTTCCGGCACTGCCCATATAATGGGTCGGGCAGTGAGAAGCCCCATTAGCGCGTTTGAATCCAGGGCAAGGCACGAATGGTGGCGCATGATTCTGATGGAGATTTCTCACATCGTCGGTGTTGGTATGCATGACGGAATATCGCCCTTGCGGATCGAGCATGGGGTAATCAAGATCGAGGTGAGGTTGTATTAAGGGCAGGGGTAACTGAACTGAGGCGGTCGAATAGGGCCTGTAAAGCCATGCCACGGAATCAACGCGTTCGAG